GGAGTTTGAGGTTGCTGTGAGCTGTGATGCCACAGCACTCTACCCAGTGTGAAAGCTTAAGACTCTGTCTCAAAAAGTATATATATATAGAAAAATTAACTGGGCATTATGGTGCATGCCTGTGGTTCTAATTACTTGGGAGGCTGAGGCAAGGGGATCACTTGAGCCTGTGAGTTTGAGGTTGCTCTGAGCTATGACATCAGGGCCCTCTACCCAGGGTAACAGAATGAGACTCTGTCTCAGAAACAAACAAACAAAAGTAGGTATGGGAACATCCCCTAGGCCATGAGGTCAGCCAGACTGACCTCTCTTGCCCACAAGCTCCCCATGTGGCCATAGTCCCCTCTCCCACCAGTCCATGGGCTCCCTGAAGGCAGTGAGGATGGAGTATCTTAGTACATGGGCCAGGCCGAGCAGGCACTCCGCACAGCTGGCTAATTACTGCATCGCCCACTCCTCGGGGGTGAGACAGTAGGGCCCGTTTCCTCCTTCTGCCTATCAGGGAAAACTGAAGCCCAGAAATGGTAAGGGGGCTACCCAAGACCACATAGCAGATGGAGGTGGAGTCAGAACCAACACTCAGGCCCCCTTTGGGTATCTGGCATCATGAAAGAGCCCTGGGCTTGGCATCAGTCAAACCTGAGTTTAGGCCGGGCGCGGTGGCGCATGCCTGTAATCCCAGCACTCTGGGAGGCTGAGGCAGGTGGATTGCTTCAGCTCAGGAGTTTTAGACCACCCTGAGCAAAAGTGAGTCCTATCTAAAAACATAGCTGGGCATTTTGGTGGACACCTATAGTCCCAGCTACTTGGGAGCCTAAGGCAAGAGGGTTGTTTCAGCCCAAGAGTTTGAGGTTACTGTGACATGTGACACCACAGCATTCTACTGAGGGTGACGAAGTGAGCCTCAAACAACAAAAATAATACAAAAACCCTGAGGTTAGGTCCTTGTTCTGTTTCTTACTCAATGGTTACCTAGGGCAAGACTATTTCCTGAGCCTCAGTTTCCTTATCTGTGGAATGGGACTGTTGTAAGAATGAGGGACTATATTACTGATGAGTTCTGACATCAAAGTGGTACTCTGGAAGCGCATGATGTTTGCGTAAGTGTCACTGATCCAGAGAGAGGAGCCAGCTGGGCAGGCAACAGCTTCTCTGGGCAGAACAGCAGGTAGAGATCCCAGCCCAGGGTGGGGCTGCCTCAGCCTTCTGAGATGTAGCAGCTGGGACCCCCCCACTTGCTTGGTACCTGTCCAGTGGGAGGGGGCACATGAGCAGGGCCACCACGACCTCCGTCATGAAGGAGCTGGCCAGGAGGGAGACGGGCAGCAGGGCCACCTCGCGGGCCCGTGGTTCCTGGATCTGGCTCAGCTGTAGGTAGATGCCCTGCATGATTTCTGGGATCTGGGACACAGCCAGGGCAGTGGTGAGCAGTGATGGCCCATGGAGAAGCCAAAGGAGGCATGGGGCATGCAGGAAAATGGGCAGAGGACAGGGGAGAGGGAGGGAGGGAGTGCAGGAGAGACAGGGGAGAGACAAGAGGCCAGCAGAGTGCCTTCTCCTTCCTGGGAGGGAGCCAGGAGCCAGTTTCTCTGTCACGCCCCCCCCACGCTCCCTGCACCAGGTCAGTTCTCTCTGGGATGGCAAGAGATGAAACCCCACAAGGCACAAGCTGGGAGCACCAAGAATTCAGCCGCCACCACCTCTGCCCTGCCCTGGGCAAGCTGTGCCCAGTGATGAGCA